GAAGCATCTGAAAATGAGCAGATGACAAAAATAGGTATTTATGTCTTTCTTCTCCTTCCATCCACTCCTCTTTGTCACTTAAATTTTCACTTAATTCAATCGATCATTTTTCCCTGTTTATTTTTTTCTTTTTCATCATTCTTCCAATCTTCCCTGAGCATTACTAAAGCATCTCTAATTTATTTCTGTTAACCAAGAGCACTCTATCTCTACAGGTGTCTCAGCATTCTGTAGCCAAGCAAGACATGCTAGGATACTTACCCCATTCTTACATCACTCCAGAGCTAGCAACACCCCACTCTAGATTTCCATTTAAACAAAATGACTCTTATTTGGTGGACCATCTCCATTATTTATTTTCTGTGGAGATGGAAAAGTCTGGCTATTGCCCCTGTCATAATCCTGTGTTGGAAAACCTTCATTATGTCTATATGCATATAGTCTAGAAAAGTGTAGTTCAAAAACCTAATTACAAACAAGCCCAACAGGTTGTTGTTGTTATTATTATTATTATTATTTTGCAAAATTCAACTTTTGGGAAAGCAATTCTGGTCATATAAGTATTTGAATTGCTATTTAAACATCTTCTTCGGAGTGTCCATATGAAATTATTCAGGAATGTTAGTTTGTCATCTCTGAGTCAATCCATTATTTTATCTACAATTTTCTAAAATATGTACAGGCAGCATGTTGCCTTTTTCCTATAAAAACAGTTCTAGGGTAACTGTGAATCGTTAACTGAGGTTACTTTATCACAGAAAGTCAGAATGCTGGGATATCAGAATTTACGTCCACAATTTTAGCTTCCTGTTTTATCCTTGGAGGTCTTCTCTTGGTACCCCAACCTTGACTAAGATAACACCCTAAACTGCTATGGAAAGAGGGGGTTGGTGTTAAGGAAAGTTGTGAGGGACCCACACTATGCTATGTACTTGGTTATAGCAGCATTTTTATACCTACAACCACAAGATTCATATGTCCTGTGCAAGGTGAGGCAGACTGCTCAAGGTCATTACATTACACCCATTTCCTCAATCTATCATTACACCCATTTCCTCAATCTATCTTTAAACTTCTTCATTTTTTTTTAATAATAAATTTTATTTTTATATTCCCCCATACAATTGCAAATGCCCCATTCTGACCCCAATCCTTCCCCTCCCACCCCCCACCCCCCAAAAAGTGTCTCTGGTTCATAGTTTTTTGTTGATTTTGATTTTCACTTTCTTATATTCATTTTCCTGGTCCCTTATTTAAGTTTTCTAGATTCCTGCTATGAGTGAGACCATCCGGTATTTTTCTTTTTCTTTTTGGCTTATTTCACTGAGCATGATCCCTTCCAGCTCCATCCATGCTGCTGCAAATTGCATGTGTTTATCTTTTTTGAATGCTGAGTAATATTCCATGGTATATATGTACCACATCTTCTTGATCCAGTCATCTATTTTTGGGCATTTGGGTTGTTTCCAAAGCTTAGCTATTGTAAACAGTGCTGCTATAAACATAGGGGTGCAGGTGTTCTTTGGAATGGATGTTTCTGTGTCCTTTGGGTAAATACCTAGGAGTGGAATTGCTGGATCATATGGAAGCTCTATGTTTAGTAGGTCCAGAAATCTCCACACAGCTCTCCATAGTGGTTGGACCAGTTTGCACTCCCACCAACAGTGCAGAAGAGTTCCTTTTTCTCCACACCCTCGCCAACATTTGTTGTTGCTAGTTTTTTTAATATGTGCCATTCTCACTGGTGTGAGATGGTATCTCATGGTAGTTTTGATTTGCATTTCCCTGATTACAAGTGATGTTGAACATTTTTTCATATGCCTGTTGGCCATTTGCATTTCCTCTTCAGAGAAGTTTCTTTTTAGCTCTTCTGCCCATTTTTTGACTGGATTATTTTCTTTGTTGTTGCTGAGTCTCATCAGCTCTTTGCAGATTTTTGTGATCAGTCCTTTATCATTAGTGTTGGGTGCAAAAATGTTCTCCCAGTTGGTGGGGTTTCTCTTTGTTTTTGTTATTGTCTCTTTTTTTTTTTTTTTAATAGAGGCATGCTTTTTATTTATTTGTTTGCTGGTTTGTTTGTTTGTTTTGTTTATACATGCACTGGGTACAGTCAGAAGCGCGGGAGGGTGAGAGAATTCACCAGAGCCAGAGCGGGGAGCAGAGCAGGCAGAAGGACCGAAGTACACTGCTGAGGGGAGCAGCGGGCGGCAGGAGAGGTCTGCGCGCCATGCGGGACCCTCCTCCGGTGTCCGGGGAGCAGCTGGGGATCGAACCGGCGCCACAGAGGCCGCGCGCAGCTTCGCAACCCAGCGCTCAACCGCTGCGCCACCGGGGAGGCCCTGTTATTGTCTCTTTTGCTGTGCAGAAGCTCTTTAATTTGATGTAGTCCCAGCTGTTTATCTTTGTCTTCACTATCACTGCTTTGGGTGATGTGTCTGTAAAGATGTCTTTGATGTGCAAATCCCGTAGTGTTTCGCCTATATTTCCTTCTATGTATTTTATGGTTTCAGGTCTTATGTCTAGTTCTTTAATCCATTTTGAGTTGATTTTTGTGTATGGTGTGAGGTAGTGGTCAAGCTTCATTCTTTTGCATGTAGCGACCCAGTTTTCCCAGCACCATTTATTGAACAAACTTTCTTTGCTCCAATGCATAGTCTTTGCTCCTTTGTCAAAGATTAGTTGACCATAAATCTGTGGGTTTATTTCTGGATTTTCTATTCGATTCCATTGGTCTGTATGTCTGTTCTTGTTCCAATACCATGCATAAACTACTTCTTTTGAACTCAGTTGCAACCAAAGTTGACTAGTCAATATTAGTAACATATTCCATCATGACAAGTTCAAGGAGCAAATTTCTGGCCATATTTACAATTTCAGCAGGCTTATATATGGCTCCCACTATTTTATTATTGGAACTTTTTTTTTTCTCCTTGACTTGGTGATGTCATAGACCCTGGACATACACTGGCAAACACTGTTAGCTCCCATTTGTTGGTTCCTGGTTTATTGTCTGACCTCTAATGGCAGGAATATTCCAGAAATCAATCCCAGGCCTACTTCTATTTTTAAAAATTTAATTTTTATTTCTAGTCAAACAAAGATTTATAAAACTTAAATTGGACTATAAAGCATAATTAAATCTAACATTTCTTCTCCCATATCTACCCAGTTCCACTCCCAGAGGACATCTATATGCAATTTTCAATGACTTCTCCGGGTAATTATCTCAATAATTTTTAGCACTCACCTTGTGGCTTTTAGATTTACCAGTTTTGCATATCATATATTTATATTTTCTCCACAGAAATCAGGTACTTTGCCCTCTTACTTAATGTCCCTATTCAGCCCCTATCCTTTTCAATAGAGTTATATAAACAAATATGTCTATTTTTTATTACTTAATTCATTATCATTATTAAATAGTGTTGAACCAAGTAGCAAACCAGTATTCTATCTATTTTGCTTTGTGTACAATTGTTTTTTTCTGGTGCCATTTTTTCCTTTTTATTTCTTTAGTATTCTATATACTTGTCATTTTTTTTTCAAACTCTCCAACAGGATGATTAAATAGATAGTATTATTTTCCTCGTAGAGAAGCTACAGTTACGCTTATAATCATCCTCTTTGTTGCTGATGATTGAACCACTAGGGAATGCAGTAGTGGGATACTACTCTTCATAAAATGTGCCTCCAACTCATTATGGGACTGTAATAAGCTTTACAACAGCAGTTTCTTTTCAGAGTCCATTAATGACAATTCAGACAAGAAAGGGAACTTTTTTATAAGCCATCTGAACTAAAGAGGACTTTTCAGAATAAATTGCTGGTTCAATATATCATGACACTCTAAGACTCACATTACCATTATTCCTTTAGTTCTTCCATGAAAGTAGCACTGTCTTTGTTTGGATAACTAAATTTTTACAGTTCTCTTTGTTATAAGTTCAAGATAACAAGATATTTGTCAATGTTTTTGAAAGTAACTTTAGGCTGTGGTGGTAATAATGGTAATGGTACTGGACAAAATGGGGAACATTGGGAATTTAGACTTTCCATAAGGGGAGGTGATAGATACTTCCATGGTTTTGTCTTTCTCATTTTTCATTTTAATAGGTAGTTTGAAAAGAGGGGGAAAAAAACCCAAAAATCACTGATCTATGGATAGTAATCTAACAGAAATAATTTGAACATAGGTGTCTTCCTGAGGAATGAGCAATCAAAAAGTTCTCTGTATGGAGGAGAAGATAAAGTAAGATAAAGTAATTATGACTATTAGAGCCCCTTATCCTTCCTCTGCTCTGCCATTATTACAATGATATCAATACTGATCATGATGGCTGACATTGTAGAAATTGTGTAATGTGCATTGCTCCAAGCTCTATATAAGGGTTAACTTACTTGTCTTCCTCAAAAATTTATAAGGTGTTATCTATTATTATCTCGATTTTAGAAAATAGAGGCACAACAAATTAATGTCTGTATTCATTGGCATCCAGAACAACCATGTCCTGAACACTATCTTCAAGAGTTTTGCAGACATTATCTTGAGCTGCCCTATCTTCCAATGGCAATAAAAAAAAAAAGTCAGTATTTTACATATGAGGAAAAAGACACACCTAATTCAATAATTTGTAGTAGAACAGTTTGCAAACACAAGAATTAAATTCAACCCATTTTGTCTGTCTCCAAATCTTCAAGACTGCCTCAGTTTCTGTGGATATAGAACATGAAATCCAGGCATTTTGAAGCCTTGGCTTTGGTTTTCTCTACACTGTGCCTTGGATAAAACTCCACTTCTCAGTTTACCTTGGACTGCAAACACTCGGAGCTGCAGAAAATCATCCACTGCAGCCCTGTTGATACTCACTTGTCTATAGGGCGATCCCTGGGGGCTTGACTGTCGAAGGGACAGCCCTGGATATATATGATTCAGTTTTAATCGACTTGGACTTGTGGAGAGAGAAGAACTTTCCTTCTATATTTTTTTCTCCTGACCCCAGGTTACACACAGATCACAATGGAGTAAGCCAACATTGTTACAGAGGGAAGAAAAAGAGGTCAGTAGAATTACTTTTGCATTTCTATAGGTCTGTGGCTTGGGTAAGTTTTCACTCTGGTGCTCATCTGATCTGTACCAGCTCACCTTCTCTGTGGATGTGCATCTGCAGTTTGGTAACCCATATTTGCTTTGACAAGACTCAGTTTCTCAGTAAGCACAATGCTTTAGTGCAGCAAAAGAAATTTGCCAAACCCATTCTGACACTGTTTATAATCCATAAAGCTCTCTAGGCTGGCAGGATCTGGAGGATGAACCTCAAAAATTATCAGGTTGTATTGATGAAGCTGGAATGTGCATCATTCATGATCTTAATTATTCTTTGATGGTTTTGGAGGATTTCACATAAAAGCAGAGATTATATCTCAAGAGTAGAATGCAAGTGCTGGTAAGGACCTTAGAAATGATTCAGTCTCTCATTCTAGGTACAGACAAAAGAAATCTCAGAGAAGTAAGTCTTGTGTTTGAAGTCTCAAAGCTATTTTAATCAGATACAAGATTCAAGGTCTACCCATTGGTCATTCCCCTTTAACTACTTTATTAGGTACTTCATTTTGTTCCACAAATCATTATGTATACAGTTCAAATATCCATTTTTGTGTTTACTGAATAACATGAAAGACTCAGACAGCTTGTGAAGGATAATACATGGTATGAAGGAACTCGGGCAGAAAAGGGCTAACAAGGGGACAATAGAGCATTAACAGTGGAAATGTTGTCAATCACAATCTTGTCTCTTTCATACTCTCTTTCTTTTATAAAAAACACTTCAGTTATCTATAACTTATTGTAAAGTTTTACCATAAAAACATGAGATATTTATAAAGAAAACCAATATTCATAAAATTTGCATAACAAAAATCAAACTTTCATTTATACTTATTTAATTTTATTAGACAAACAAGGTAAAAAGTTGGGTATCCCATCTGTTTATCAAAGCCCTTTAGAAGTCTGTGCATATCCAGAAGACTGGGGAGATACAGGGTGGTTTAAACTATTAGCAAGAAGGAAAAAAAGAGAGATTTGAAGTAATAATGAACAGTCTGATACTTGTAAAGGAGCCCTTTACAGAAGCAAACTATGCTAAAATATAACTGCTCATCTCATGGAGTATATGGAGACAGGGAACCCCTTGCTGTGTCATATAGCCTGAGAGCATTTTGTTATTATATAGAAACTCACACTTGTAAGATTAAGTACACATCACCAACAGTTAAACTGTGATGTTTGCGTAATTTTTTAGAGTCAATAGAGGAGGTAGTCTTTCTCTCCTCTTCTCTCAAAAGAAGCAGGGCACTTTAAAGAGGTCATTGTCATTTATCTAGAAAATATACATATTTTTCAGATTGCTAAACTTTTTTGTTATTTCTGCAACTGGAGTAATTCTAAATACTGTTGCGTTCTCAGAGAAATCGGAATGCTGGGGAAGATTACTGGTGAGAATCTTTGTCTTTTAGATATTGGGTACAATATGTATTAAGTCCCATTTTTTGTTAACTTTAAAAAAGACCATAGTTAATTTTCTCTGCTTTCCAACCACCTCTTTCAGTGACATTGTCTCTCTCCATCAAGTCCCTCTCTCAAAACCCCTTCTCTGCCCATCGTGTCAACAAACACTGACTGACTTGCCTGTTTCAATGTCATGTGTTTAGAATTATGTAAAAAAAAAATAATTTCTCGTAGAGATTTCCATTCTTTTTTCTGTTAGACCCAAAAAGATATGTCATCACATTTTTCATTTCAAAAAAGGATGAGTTCATGGCTCATGTGAATGTAAACCAAATATTCTCCATCTATGAAATACAATGATAAACTATTGATAAAATAATAAAGCTGTAATGTTTCCGCTGAATTCTCTTAGAATTTCTTGAGGTTACATCCCCAATTGAATTATATAATTTTCTTAAGCTCAGTATTGATTGTTTATGGATGGGAAGACAATCGTGTTTAGTTTGCTGTGGTTTCCAGCAAAGACAGAAGTTCATGAGATATTCAATTGATTTAACTCATGCCAATGTCTAAAGTCTAACATTTCCTTTGAAAAAACTCAAGACTTTATGAAGACCTCGGGAATGTAGCACAGTATTAAGCAGTAAGACTCTCTTTTACCAGTTAGCCAGTAGCTGTGGCAGTATCTGGTTGAGGGGAGCCCGCTGCTCCCCTCAGCAGTGTATTTCATCAGTCTGCCTATTCTGTTCCCTGTTCTGTCTCTGGTGAATCCTCTCATCCTCCCGCATCTCTGGTCTGTACCCCAGCTCTTGTATGCATAAATAAATAAATCTTAAAAAAAAAGAAGGAAGCCTCCAGTGCTAAATTGTGGTTATTTTGTGGTTATTTTAGTTCTTATCTCAGAAGAAATTACTGATTCCCCAATCTCAGCACCATGGCAGGCAGCTGTGTATATGTTCCTAGAGCAGCTTGTGCACAGCTAACAGTAGCCAGAGCAGGCAATAAAACTACTGTCCTTTAAATATCACCAGTTTGTATTCTGATTATTTGTTACTGTTTCTGAACACGATGAACAGACAGAAGCCGCAGACTTGGGTTTGGACTCCACTCTTATTATTGCAAGTCCCTCCTTAGGTCAAAGCAATTTCAAAGACATTTAAAAGGATGGCAACTTTTTTTCTCCTTAGTTTTTCTCTTTTTTCCCCTTTTGGGAAAATAGTAGTACATTCAAAAACAACCAACTATGAGAAAAATCAGGAAGTCAACACACATAGCCAGAGGAATGTGCAGGTTCACAGAAGACCGGAGAAAATCTTAGGTTTACATCTAAGACCAATTCTCTGCATGGTGATAGCTGACAATGATTAAAAACAAGGAAATTAAAAGTAGGGTGATAATCTGAGTATGAGTTAACATGTTATTGGATCAAATGTTGAATTTTTACTGAAGGCATACAATGAAGGAAAATTATGTGCCATTCATTGCAATATATATATATATATATTGTATGATGCAATATATGTATGTATGATGTCTCTATGCAATCTCTCTCTCTCTCTCTCCCAAAAGCTAAGTGTCCCTGAGAAAGACTAAATGGTAGACCAAACAAAGACTTTTAAAACTTTGTTTTAAAGATGCTCAAATAACTAAAGGAAGATGTGAGAAAGTAAAGAAAATAAAGTGTGGAAAATATAGAAATATTAATAAAAATCTGAAAAGAAACTAAATAACAATCTAATGCTAAAAAGTATAGTAACTTAAATGGAAAAAAATCATGAAAGGGATTCAAAATTTTCAGGAGAAGGAATCAGTAAATTTGAAGATAAAACATTTGCAGTTTTTGAGTCTGAGGAATGGAAAGCATAAGGAGTAAAGAAAAAGTAAACAGAAACAAAGTAACCCTTGAGACACCAACAAGTGGACCAACATACTCATTGTGGTAGTTACAGTATAAAAATAGAGAGAGGAAGGGTTAGAGAGATTCTTTGAAGAAATAATACTGAAAACTTTTTAATTTATATGGATGACTTAAATATAAACATCCAAAAAATTCAATACACTCCAAGTAGGATGAACACAGAGAGATCCACACTGAGATATATATTCAAATAGTAGAAAGCCAAAACAAGGAGAAAATCTTTAAAGCAGCAAGAGAGAAATAACTCATCAGATGCAGAGGATTCTTAGAAAGATTATCAACAGATTTCTCATCAAAAACTTTGGGGGGCTCTGATATTTGAAGTGCTGAAATAAATAAACTGACAATATACTATATTTGCCAAAGCTGTCCTTGACAAGTAAGGGAGAAATCAAGACATTCCCAGATACCAACAAGCTAAGGGAGTTGTTACCAACTAGATCTGCCTTTTGTGAAAGAAATTCCTGCAGGTTGAAATCAAAGGATCTTTGAAAGTAACTTGAAGTCTATAAAAAAAATAAAAAACTGAGAAAAGATAAATAGATGGGCAGTTATAAAAACTAATAATAGTATAACAATGCTTTGTAAATCTACTTTTTTATATGATCTAAAAGGCTGATATATTCTTTTTTTTAAGATTTAGTTTTTATTTATACAATAGCTGGGGTACAGGCCAAAGGCACAGGAGGGTGAAAGGACTCATGAGAGACAGAGCAGGGAGCAGAACAGGCAGACAGACTGAAATACTCTGTTGAGAGGAGCAGTGGGTGCTACAGGAGATGTCTGTTGCGCCAGATGGGAATCTCCCTGGCCAGCCAGGAATCCAACCCCTGCTGCAGAGGCTGCAGACAGCCTCACAGCGCTGTACTCAACCTGCTGCGCCACCGGGGAGGCCCAAGGCTGATATGTTCTTGACAAAAACATTAGTATAAAAGCTAGTATTAATGTAATGTGTCTGTAATTGCATATTCTGATTTTTCTACACAATTAAGAGAACTAATACATTAAAAACAATTGTTCATATGTATTTTTTAAGATATATTTATTTTTATGCAAGAACTGGGGGACAGGCCAGATGTGTGGAAGGGTGAGAGGATTCACCAGAGACAGAGTGGGGAACAGAACAGGCAGCCTGACGAATTACACTGCTGAGGGGAGCAGCGGGCAAAACAGGAGAGGTCTGCTGCGCCATGCGGGATTCTTGCAGGCCAGCCGGGATGGAACCTGCACTGTAGAGGCTGCGGACAGCTTCACAGTGCGGTGCTCAACCGCCTGCGTCACCAGGGAGGCCCAAAACAATTGTTCATTTATCTTTTTTGCACATACAATGCATAAAGATGTGATTTTGTGATGTCAATAACTGAAATATTTGGAGATGAAGTTGTAAAGAAACAGTCTTTGCATGCTATTAAAGCTAGACTGTTATAAATTAAAATTTGAGTATTGTGTCTATAAGATGATAGGATGAAATCCTTATGTTAACCATGAAAAAACTAGTTATAGAATACATGCAAAGAAAATAAGAAGGGGATTAAAAAATGATGCCAAGAAAATCAACCAAACACAAAAGAAGATAGTAACGAGGAAAGTGAGAGACAAAAAAAGAACTATATGTAATGCATGTGGA